TAATGCGAAATAAAACCAAATCTTAAAAAACTGTGCCCCCACTCCTCCCTCTTCCCAGGTGCCACTTCACTCCCGATTTCTCTACCTCCTTGCCCCGAGTGGCACAGCGGGTCAGGGAATGGGGGTTGTGCTCAGTTCATCACATGTTGTCTCTGCTGCTCCTTTCTCCTCACACGCTTCCTCTGCTCCAGCGTGGGGTCCCTCCCACAGGGGAACAGTTCTCCACAAACTTCTCCAGTATGAGTCCTTCCACAGGCTGCAGTTCTTCACGAACTGCTCCAGTGTGGGTCCCTTCCATGAATTGCAGTCCTTCAGGAACAGACTGCTCCTGTGTTGGTCGTCCCCCACAGGGTCACAGGTCCTGCCAGCAAACCTGCTCCAGTGTAGGTTCCTCTCTCCATGGGTCCACAGGTCCTGCCAGGAGCCTACTCCAGTGCAGCCTTCCCATGGGGTCACAGTCTCCTTGGGGCACATCCACCTGCTCCAGCGTTGGATCCTTCATGGGCTGCAGGTGGATATCTGCTCTGCTGTGGACCTCCATGGTGTCTGCAGAGTTGTTTCTCTCACGTATTCTTACTCCTCTCTCTGGCTGCAATTGCTGTTGTGTAGGGCTTCCCCCCCTGCTTCTTAAATATGTTATCACAGAGGTGCTACCACCATCGCTGATGGGCTTGGCTGTGGCCAGCAGTGGGTCTGTCTTGGAGCTGGCTGGCATTGGCTCTATTGGATGTGGGGGAAGTCCTAGCAGCTTCTCAGAGAAGCCACCCCTGTAGACCCCCCACCCTAAAACCTTGCTCAAACCCAATACACAGGGACAGTGTGCCAGTTCTGTGGCATGGCAAATCCACTTGTATGAAAGAAAGCTCCTTGGGAGAAGGCGGCGAATAAAAAAGGACCTGATTTATCCACAACTGGCTCATCAGCAATACATTGCTGCTTTTGTTAAGCACAGTAATGATCTGGTATTCTGGCTCTTGCTAGCCTTTTTTTTTCTTTTTTTTTTCTTTTTTCCTTTTTTTCCTTTTTTATTTTCCTTTTTTTTTTTTCCCCCCTTGCAACCAATTTCTTCCTAACAAGATAAGTATTGTATTTGGTGCAATCACATAGGTTG